ATTTTCTCTACACATATATATAGAAAAGAAATAATCGATCATAAATGATGACTTACCCGCAAGTACACAGCTCGCAAATGCATTGTTCCTTCAAGGGAATTTTTGATATTATGTCAGGTATCGTCACTCGATCAGGATGAACGTCTTCATCGAGAGAATCTGGAGATTGATCTCCTCGTTTCGGCTTGTCGTCTCGCTCAGGTCTCTTCGGTTTTTCAGGCTTCTCTGTAGTCCGACTAGGTTTACCTGCCGTTGGTCTTTGTTCAGTGGGTCTTGTGGTTCCACTAGGTCCTTCATCGGGTTTTTTAGGTGCTACGGATTTCTCCTCAGGTCGGCTCGGTTTGCCGGCCGCTGGTTTTTTAATCGATGTAGTATAATCTCGAAGTTTTTCAGGCGACTTCGGCCGACTTTCGTAAGGTCTGCGAGACATTACAAATGCATTATTTTTGTCAATAGTGTTTCTTAATTTTTTTTTCTTACTTTTTGAATATATTTTGAGGAAATTGTTAAAAATTAAAAAATATTTTAATTTCTTATTCACCTGCCATGTTCCGCCGGTCGTTGAGGACTCCCCTCATGTGGTCGGCTAGGTTTTCCAGCGGCGGGAATCGGTTTCGGTCGATCGTCCTCCCTGAGTCCAGGTATTCCACGAGGATAACCGGGCCGTTCTGGCGACGGTTTCCTCGTGGAACTTGCTGGAGATCGAGGTGCTGAGACAGTGACGGTATCGAATCGAGTATCGTCGACATCCCACGCTACCATGCTAGTCAGCTGCTCTTTGCCGATAAATTCTTTCGTTGACTCGGTGACATCTCTCTGAAAAGTGCGTCACTAGTTATTTAACTGCGCGGTAAATCAATTCGTACTAAAGATTCCTCTAACCAGAAAATAAAATTCTTTATAACGACAAGACTATACAAATATTTCTTTTTTTTTCAATATTAAATTACATGAAAAATTTTTTATTTTAAATTAGTTTTTGAAGAATTAAACAAGATTTCTTTTCATTTACGTTATTTTTATGTTATCTTTATATCAGAATTTAATAAGAAATATTATGTTTATTAAAAAAAAAATGTGACATTTTTCCTCAATATAGTTGAGTTAGCATCTGAGAATATAAAGCAGGACGATTACCCGATCAATATTTTACGGTCAACAAACGCAAAGATTATTGTTCTGCTAATGATCGCTAATAAGGCTTACATGCAAAGTGCAAATTATTTAATTATTACATAGATTGTAATGCTGAGTATTATCACGTGCCTACAAATTATTAATATTTAAAATTACAGCGTTTTTTATACTTCATTCTTTTCATATGAATAATATAAGTGCACGTAGCAGGTGTAGCGAACTGTCAGCAGGCGTCGAGAAACATTAATGATTAATTTGTGCAGTCGTTGCTATAACTTTTGTCACTTGCAACTTTTGTCACTTGCAAACTTTTATTTTGTTCGTAATGATTGCAGGCTTTATAGCAGCATTACGCTGACTCACCTAACGTGTCAATGTCGTATAAATTATTTAAAAAAATAAAGATTCGATTAGCAAGTTAATCGCTTGCAGTAAACGCCTTGATAGCACATTACCAGATACCTAGACGCTCGTAATAACAACGTAAATGCGACTTCGTTTCACCACAGACACTCATTACGAGTTTCAAACGTGCTGCATAATGAGCGCCGTGCGGACATGAGCGGGATTAGGAACGCCCGTCCGTACTGCTTAGTTCGACGGAATGCAGGTAACACGAGATCGGTGCATATATGGCTTTTATGCGCACACTTACGGCGTATCGTGTGACATGCTTACCGAACCGTCGAGTTAGTTCTACAATTTGGTTTTAGCTTCAGCGGCATTATTGTTATTTAAACATAAGCAAATTGTAGACGATGCATCGACGTAAGTAATTTATGCAAAGAAATTTTTTTCTTTAAGAATATGCTTGTGTGAAGATTAATAAAAATTTTTATCTACTTGTATATTAAAATGTAGGGAATGTTAGCATCCTTTTGCTAACAATTTTTAATTTTTCTACCGATTGAATTGTTATATGAAATTTAACGTTACGTTGTGCCATTATGGATTCGCTTAAAAATTTCGTACATCTATTCTCAGTTTGTTAGAGCTGCTCATTATACTCATAAGCACGCACGCTCTCCAACTTACAATTAGCGCAGTAATTCGATAACGAAGCAAATAACGTTTGCCGATATTATTAGTCAAATCCTTTGCTCCGTTTTTAACACTCGAACGTAATTTACGCAAAACACGTCAGATAAAGTTTTGGCATTTAATTAGCAGTTTGCTAGTTTGAGCCTTTAAGCTGATTGCCCTTCTTTGGCGATATCGAAAGTTGCTTATAATGAAGCTCATTTACATAATTTGGGCTCCGCGAGTTCTTGCAAAGAGCATCATTGTATCTATGTAAAAATTTTGCATATGCAAAAATTTTCTTCTCTCTCTCTCTCTCTCTCTCTTTGCAAGTATTGCACGGTAACTATAGATTTAATAGAATTTCCATCTAAAACAACTTTGTCGGTTACGTTCGTTCCACGGATTCGCCATTTCTCGCGCGGATTTTTTAACACAATTAGTCACGTGCGGTATATTTTACATCCCATGTACTACTGAATCGACTTCCCAAAATTACGTTCACAAAATATTCCTTTTTCAATAAAAGTTAAGTGCTTCTGTATTTAACTGGAAGGTACACAAAAGCGCTCGGTTGGTGAAAAACTTTTACCTGGTCAGTTTATCAAATTTCAAAGCCTCGAGATCGACGAGGGCTCGAGTAACGACGGGTTAATAAAATATCACGTTTATCGATGTCGTGATACGTCGACGAGACATCGCTCGCGCCTGCATCGTCATAAAATAACAATACCGATTCGTTGAGAAAACGCGATCACGCGTGCTACGTCATATATATCGTGTTTCGATGCAAGTAGGGCATACTTCCAATACCTGTTTGTATTGAACAATCAAAAACAATGTGGGCGTCCGCGTAACGCAGTGAAACGAGATAAATCGCTCCGAATAGCGATAAAGATTGTAATCACAAATACATTCCGCAGAGTACCTTTGAAGAAAATAAGATTTCTCACAAATCTTGCTTTTTTTCGAAATAACAAGAAGTATCTGTTAAATAAAAAAACGCATATATTTATTCATGAAGCGATGGATTAGGTAATAGTTACGGAAAACGTCACAAATAGTGCAAGCGCGAACTTAGTAAAGCATTTTATCGATCATCTCGAGACCTTGGAGTGAAGTCACGGCTGTGAAAATTGGAACAAACTACTTAAACTATCCCTGTAATGCGGAATCAATTACAAATGTCTATTTTTAATTTGTCGGACATGTGTAAATGAACCTATTGCACATGGTCTGCATTATTCACAGATATTTTTGAACGTAGCATTGAATATTCTGACTATGACGTTGAATGACATGAACTCCGGATTTCAAAGTGTCGATCTCGATATTTGCGAGATACTACGCGAACGTAGGACGAAGTTTCTCAGATTGTCCCGCGCATCTCTCCAACTAGTATCTGCATTGAATCTTTAATAAGCAACGTGTATATTAAATTTTCACAAGACAGAGAATATAAAATTTCAAAAACTTATCTAACAACAAAAGATGGAATGCAGCAGAGAGAAATTAGAAGATTTTTTTTTATAAAAAATTATAGTATGGAAAAGGCACGAAAGAAAAAATTGACTGAATATTTCTACGGAAAGCTCTAAATCGTAATGATCTAGAAAGATTAATGTTCTGACATTGCTGCAGCAATAAAGTTCATCCGTGGCATTTATCTTTACGTTCGATATCGACCTACATTCCTATAAAAACATATAACACTCAGCCGAAGCGACGTCATAGTGTGTAAAACTCGCAGATAGCGCGACTTTGTATTTACTGATTACGAGACATCAATATTAAGCTCTATAGCATATCAGTGCATTCAGCACACACGCAATGAACGATTGTAAAACGACGATACAACTGCGTATCTATCGTATTTGTTATTTTATTTAATGTTATCGGTCGTTACTATCGATGTCGTAAGTGATGATAAGTGAAGTCAATGTACATCGTGTCGCGCTTATCAGTATAGCATCTCAACTAAGATTTCCATGGCACTTAAACGAGGCGACCGCGATAAGCGAGGCGGAACACGCGTGAAATTCAATTGGTCGTACATTAAGCGGGTTACATTGGACGGTGACATCACTGCCGAATTTGCTCGTATCGAATATGCGATTATTGTCACTTTGCATACACTCGATTGAGCCTGACTGCCAGGTAATTACACTTGCGTGCCCGCGGCACACGCCAGATATGATTTCGAGTATTCTTATTTCTGCATATGCACAGGAATTCTCCGTAATAACTTTTTTCCGTAAACATTCTTTTTCAATAAACAACAGTACATAATTGAATCAGTTTGATACCTTTTCTTTGACATTATTTAATGCGAACGATTAGAACATAACATATAGAATTTTATCTGATTAAAATAGTGACGTAGATTTTATTTAATTGGAATTACAAAACAATCGCGTTAATATAATTGCGATTTTCCGACTTTCAAATCGCTTCTGGAAATACAAAGTTCACCTTTTAATCGATAGCAAAAGGTTATCATGCCGATTTCTTGCGTCAGCAATGATAGTGTTGACAGGAAATGTCGTTATAAATTTCTGAATTCCACATGCGATAGCGTATTGACGGTGTAAGGCGATTATAATATAACAATTCAGGCACGATATGTGCGATCGAGCGAAACCATTCCTCGTGTGTGAAATATCGATTTTCGTTCGAGGCTTTGCAGCAGCTCGATGAAACGGTTCAGCGGTGCAGAAATTCTGATCAGGAATGCTGTTCGTTTTAGACGCAGACGGTTAACAAAATGAGTTCCCCTTTTTCTTTCGTACTTAACCCTTCCTTCTGCGAATGAATCGCTGTATTACGTCAGATTTATTTCCAACGGCGCTACACATACGCGCGCACGAACTCACAACCTTCACTCGGTTTGGAAGTGAAAGTATCTTTCGAGTCTCTTCCGCAAGGACCGAGAGCTCGAAGTGTCTCGATAAGATTTATACATCTGCCTGTTGCCCGACATCTGGTCATTGTCAGCTATCAAAAAACTACATATTTCGATGAAGAAGGATGTAAATTTTTCATATCTTTATATTTTCAAGAATAAATATAAGAAGCAGATAACAGATATTGTTTTAATATTGTTTTAAAAATAAAGAACTGTTTTAATATTTTTCTGAAAAACTAGATAAGTTTTAAGTAACACAGTTTCCGGCTGTAAATAGGCAATAAAAAAATATTCCAATGTTTTACGATTACTCACCACATCCTTGCGCGTGTCTGTAGTAAATTCAGCGATGACACGTTCGTCCGTAACGTTACGTACATCTTGCACGGAGGTAAAACTCGAAGACTGATCGATTACGTAAGAGGATTTCTGAACTGCCTGAGATGTACGCGTAATATCCGCGGCATCTTCGACGTATCTAATTTCTGTGACATCCAGTCGCGGTGTTTTTCCATCGGTTGGTTTTCGGGAAATCGGAGTAGGTAGCTCTTTCTGATCTGCCGGTTTCTCGATCGGTTTTTGTACGTCTGTTGGTTTTCTCGGCTCGCCAGTCGGTTTCTCATCCGCTAGTTTCTTCTGCAAATCTTGCGGTTTCTCGTACACGAAAGATCCATCCCAGGTGGACGCGCCTGGCTTCAACGGCCGTTGTGTTCTGTCTATCGGGGTCCCTTGCGACTTCTCATCTTTAGGCTCTTTAGCATCTTCCGGGCGCTGTCGAGGCGACGGTTTAGGTTTCTCGTTGGAGGTTTGTCTCGGTTTCTCGTAATCAATCGCATGTATTTTATCCACCGTGTTGTCTTCAATGTAAATTTTCGATATATTTGAGGAATCGCGTGTCTTTGAATCAAAGATTCGCTCGACCGTGACAGAGCTCGTGGAATAATCGGTGAAACTCGTTACATCCTTCGATGTGTCCAGTATTATAATGGACGTTTTGTGATCGGTAATGTCACTCGGTTGCTCTTTAAGTGGACTTTGTTTGTCGGTAATTACAAATACATCTTTTGGTACCTTTCTATCTCCCGGTTTTGTCTCTTCTAGTTTTTCGTACACGAAAGATCCATCCCAGGTAGACGCGCCGGGTTTCGACGGCCGATGCGTTCTGTCCATCGGACTCTTTTGTGATTTTTCATCTCTCGGCTCCTTGACGTCATCTGGACGCTGTCGAGGCGATGGTTTAGGCTTATCGTCGGAAATCTGTCTCGCTTTCTCGTAATCGATTTTATCTTTTACGCTGCCTTCGATGAAAATTTTTGATATATTTGAGGAATCGTGTGTCTTCGAATCAGTGACAAATGCTCGTTCGATCGTGACAGAGCTTGTGGAATAATCGGTAGCGTTAGTTACGTCCTTTGATGAGTCTAATATCGTAACTGTTCTGTGATCAATGATGTCGGTCGGCTTTTCTTTGCTTGGACTTTGTTTATCCACTATTCCGGATGTGTCTTTCGGTATCTTTTTATCGCTTGGTTTCTCGTATACGAACGATCCATCCCACGTCGACGAGCCCGGTTTCGTCGGTCGATAGTTTCTGTCGTCCGCTCGGAGTTCTTTCTTTTCGGAACTTTTAACAGTGCTCTCTTTAGTGTCAGTGGCAGTGATTACGTCAGGCGTTCTTTTCACTGAACTGCGAGGACCTTCCTGAATAGTTACCGTTTTTTGCGTGGTTGCTGGCTGACCATCGCGAATGATGACAGTTTCAACGGAAGTCGTCGAGAAATCGACATTGGCGGAATCCGTGTAGCTCTCGTGCAGTTTTGATTGCTCCACAACGACAGAACTCTCCACGATCTCCGATGTGCTGGATACGTCTTGCGCGACATCCCGACGATCGATAGTGGTCTCGCTGACATGTTTTTTCGGCGAATCCACAGGTGCCTTCTTTCTGTCGACTGAACGAGGCTTATCCGGCAGCCTACCATCGGTGGATTCTCTGCTAAGTGGACGTTTCGTTTCCTGCGACTTTTCCCGCATGAAAGTTCCGTCCCACGTCGACGATCCAGGCTTCGTGCTTCGCACATCTCTAGATACTTTTTCGGGGCTTCTAGGACGCGGGGAGGGTCTCGTGTGACGTTCCGTCGTCGAGATTTTCTCTCGCGACGCACCCTCGTTGAATCTGATTGTCGTTTCGACCGGGCGTCCTTCATAAACGACCGTCTCGTAAATCGTGGATGCGAGACTGGCGTCTCTGACGTCTGAGAAGCTCTGTTGACTCGACGAGTGTTCGACGATGTAGGAGGTGCTCGTAACATCCGCTTCATTGATCGAATTATCTTCCGTAACGTCCCGAATATCGACGGCTTTCATCGCGCGTCTCTCCTCCGGTCTCCGGCGGCTGTCAGGCGTTCTCGGCTGCTCGTAAACGAAAGTGCCGTCCCAGGTGGATTGGCCAGGCTTGTAACAACGTGAAGTTACGTCTCGTCTCTCGGGACTTGCAGCACTGCGGCGTGTGGTTCTCTCCTCGGGACCGTCTTCCTCCAAGATCGCATCAGATACAGACGTGATCTTTTCAACGTTCTTCTTGTCGCCGGAGATCGCGTATTCGACGATATACGAAGTGGAGACCGACTCCGTGATGTTGGAAACGTTTTGCTTCTCGGTCACATCCTCAACGTCCACGGAATCGTGACGTTTTTCCGTTCGTCGCACAACGGTGGCGTCCGACGAACGTGTTTTCGCATCGTCTTGCGTTTTTTCGTAAACGAACTCGCCGTTCCACGTGGAATCGCCGGGTCTGCCGACTCTTCGGTGAGATGGGCTGGACACGCGAGCAGCAGGATGTTCCTCCTTGCCCGATGGCGCGCCGTCGATATGGATCGAACTCTCTCTGCTGACGTCACGTCGTTCTTCGGAGATGAATGCGATACTGTCCGTGGCACCTTTTACGACGCGCACAGTCTCGGAAGACTCTTTCGCGTACGTGCCATCCGTGCTCTTTTCTTTCAAATCTCTTCTCTGAGTCGTTTCTACAACGTTGTCGCCGCGACCATGATGGAACACGCCGGCGTCGGAGTCGTTACGCCGTCGTGGTTGCGTCGTTTTCTCCACGACGAAACTTCCGTCCCACGTCGAATCGCCGGGTTTCGAGCGACGAACCGATCCTTTCGACCGGTCCGTCGCGTCCGTCGTGGCGATTTTCTCGGACACGGCATCGCGGAGACGAGTCGTCGCGGATAATTGACTCTCGTCGACGATCTTGGAGTCGTGAATCACGGTCGAACTCGAAGATACGGTCTGATCGGTAACCGACACTTTCTCGGCGGACGAAGCCTCTCGAGTAACTTTAACGTTCGTCTCGCCGTCCCGCGTGTCGCCATGAATTTTCGGAGTCGCAGATGCGGTTTTGTCGACGGCGTTCTTGCTCTTGGAAGTGGCGGGCTTCTCGTAGACAAACGTGCCGTCCCACGTGGACTGGCCAGGCTTGTTGCAGCGAGTCGATATCTCGACGTTCGATTTCTCCGCTTTCGAATCACTGCGCGCGCTTTTACCGCCGCTCTTCTTCGTGTCATCGGCATTCTTAATGGCAGTCACGTCGGAAGGTGTGACCGTGCGCTCGCTGTCAACCTCCCGACTCGACGTAGACGTCGTCCTGCCATTGTCATCGACTTTTTCACCTGTCTCGCGAATTCTCGTCGTACTCGACACCGTTTGGCCGTCCTTCGTTATCGCCTCACTCTGCTCGCTGCTCATGCGAGTACTTTCGGTCGACGACCTTGACGACGTCTGAATCGCAGGAGCGTGTTCTCCGTTCGCGGTGTCGTGAGAGAGAAGGACGATGGATCGATGTTTGCCGTGATCCTTGACTGACGAACTCTCGATCACGGTGCTCGAAGAGATCGACTGTTGAACCGTCGACTGGGATTCGCTCTGACTCTGTATCTCCACAGACTGGCTGACCCGTTCAGACGTTTCTCCTTGAAGAACGTGACTCTCCGACAGAGACTTTGCGTGATCGTGTGGAATCTCGCGTGTCGTCTTTATTTGCTTCATTGATTGCGTCTGCTCTCCGGCTATAAAATCTTGCGAACTTTGACCAGTTTCACGGCTGGACGAGCTTTGCTGTACGGTTTGCGGAGGGGTCTCGATAACTTTGATGATGTTACCTTTAGAATCCATGATGACCTCGCGACTGGTGCTCGTGATCTCCACCGTGCTGCTTCTGGATTCGCTCTCAGACATCTGCCTTGATTCCTCGACGACACTGGTCGAAGACACGACTTCGACCGTCTCCGCGCTCGACGATGCCGATGTCGTGGCCACCTCGTGGCGCTGCGCGGTTCCCTTATTTTTCATTTTCGACACCGTGCCCTTCTTGTGAATAGTCATCGCGATGCGTTTCCGGTCGCGCCCACAGCCTGATTATTCGATAACAATTTTCACACAAGCGCGGAAGACTCGTGATCGTCGTGCAAATACAATAAAATCGGATAAATTGCAAACACACACATACACACTAATGATTTTGCAATTTCTCAATCACTGCAGTTTCACTACTGATAAATCGTCTCTCACATTCTAGACGTGGAAAGCTTTAATTTATCGTTGGAACGATCGACGCGCAACTGTTTATCATCGTCTTAACTACTTTACACCGCGCGCGCACCCGCGCCGCTCCTCAGGAGAACTGAAGATCCGCTGTGACCGGCCTCGTTTACAAACTCGTTTCTTCTGTACGCACGTCGGAATTCGCTCGTGCCGCTTGCGTACGCGAGCCTCGTGTGTGCTACTCGTGCCGCGACGCGTAAAAACTCCGAAAACTCTCTCCCTCCTCTCGATCGCTAATGCCCAAATTCGAATAGTTTCACTTGAGAGATATGAACGATGCTCTCGGTTCGGTATCGCGAGTCGATGTGGCGATGACTCGCTGCCGTTCGTCTAGGTGACCGCACGAGTTCTCCGCCGTTCCTCTCCGTTCCTCTCTCCCTGTCACTGACACTGACATACACCAAGCATGGAGCTTTTATGCCTGGAGAACACCGGCATCCCTACTTTCCGCGCCGCGCCACAGAAACTCTGCACGCTCGCTCGTACGTGGCCCGTTCGGCGTGGGACGCTGCCACCCATCCTCGTGTGGCTGACTCGCCGCGTGGGACGTATTCCCGTATTGTGTTCAACTAGCGAGTGCGCGCGTGTGGCTTCACCCGGTGCGCGAATAAACGCGTAGACGTCCCGCCGGCTCCCCGGCCAGGTGGATCGCTTTTGCATAGGTGCACGCTCACGCAGTAGCGATGCGCGTTACAGATTACAGTCTGTCCTTCTTCCTCCTGCAGCTTATCTGCGATTCCTTTTCGTCACGTGCATATTTGCGATACGTATGTCGCGAATGCGTCAATGTCAAATTCTAATAAGCTGAGCCGGCGCTCGCATTCCACACGCTCGTACACGATACCGAAGATAGCGGAAAATATTTGTCAGAGTCGTGTTAATCGAAACTTAAGGAGGAATTTAATCTTTAGTATTTACGAATCACATTTCGTATTCATGAATTATGCTATACAATAAAATAATATTAAAATTTTGCGTTAATACAATTCAATATAATCGTCAAGTTAAACGTTACATTAAATTAGTAGATACAGATCTGCTTCGTGGACATGCGCGCATGCACACATTGATGTGCGTTACGTAACACACGCGTAAACGCAGGATGTAGTTTTTTTTTCTGTTCCATGTTAGTGTGCACCTGTTAATACCTCAACATTACACACAGATAAAGTTTCGAACTAAAACTTTCCCTATAGAATCAGCTGTGCAAAATAGATTTCGCGTATGCATGTTTAAATGAAATTTTTGCAAGAGCTTTCAATTCTTAATTTGTATTATTATACAAAATAAATTGTTACAATTATTAGTAACGCAACACATGACGTGTCTGAACCGCATCAATTTTGCGACAAAGCATCCAAAATGGCAAATGATCGATAAAGGATAAGGAGAAAGCCGTATGCTCATAAAGGTGTGGTATCCTACGCGCGAATCGAAAAAAGTTTCTTCCTTTGTACTTATTTCTATATAAGTTTACTGAATGATTCACACCTAGCAGCACGCGAAGTTTCTTCTTTCAACGTTTCGTAGTAAGAAAAATTGCGGACAGCGAGCGCCGCGGACGTGACAGAGAAATCAGTGGGGGCACCTTCACAGAACCGGTCCATCGTGATGTCGCAGTGTAAACCGAGCGATGACGTAGGCTGCGCAACTACGATGAAGATCGTGGCTGGCGTTTCCTCCCGTCACAATAGGACAAACAAAATAAATCGGAAAGCATGTTAAAATTTCATTACAGAGACAATTTTCATCATTGTTTCCGTTAGCTAAAACTGATTGTACGCAAGCGGAAGAAAGACGCGCGTTTAAAACAATGCCTAGATAATAATGAGACAACACACACGTACGTTTTAATGACACTGATCACTGCATTGTACGTGTACATTGCTTCATTACCACCTGGGTGCTGCTTAAACGAGCGTCAAACTGACGCAGCGTCCACATTTGAAACTGCTAAACTGTTTGCGAATCAATATTCATGATATTATATGCCAGTATTAATATATAAAATATTAATACACAATTCACAAATAATAGACTAATTATATACAAATAGCAAAAATAAACGCGTAAACTAATTCGACGCATGTTTAAGCGGTACTTAATTGATAATGAAGCAATGTACACGTACATGCGATGATATTGTTTAGATCACCATATATACGTCTGTATTGCTTTATCACGTGCTTTATCTTTGATGTTATGTTGATATGAGTTCATTTCTTTTTCTAATTATAATCTATAAAAGCAAACGTATTATGCTATCATCACTATCTCTGAAATAAGGTCTCCGAGATAAACACTCTATAAAAACGCTAACAAGTGTGTTTTTCGTTGTTATATTTGACAAGTATTGACTGATCATCACAATAAAAGTGCGATAACACGCAAGGCATTGCTGAAATTATGAGGTACGTCATTGTGCGGCCATTGTACTGAAGCTGAAAAGGCGTGTTTTAAAGGAATATTGTAATAAACAACGAGAAACACGCAGAAACGTTCATTTATGCTTGCGTAATATTTGTTTCCTACTGTATACGTCCTTCAGAGCAAATCGGACGAACAATTTTCTCATTTAATCAAGACGTTAACACACTCACTTTGTGATATAAAGCCTATTTGTGAGCGCCAACGACGCAAGGTGTGTCTCGCGTGTAAAAAAAATTGCTCACATATACTTGGATCTAAAGACGTTTATTAAGTCTAATGAACGCTTGGTTTTTACGGTGATTTCAGTCTACATAAGTAATAAAACGTGTCATTACACAAAGCCGCAATCGTTAAAAGTATGTAGACACGCGTCGTAATGATATTATATAATAAATAATGTCGGAATTTATTTCACACGAAGAGATGCAGCCAATTGCAATGACAATTATGGCAAGTTTCTCACTAGCTTCGTTTAACAGCAATTTAACTGATTTTTCATCTATATAGACGCAGCTATCATACATGAGAAAGTCCAAGAATTAATATCAAAAAGCCGGAAAAAGAATTCTTGCGTCTTTTTATATTAAAAATACGTAGAATCATATCATAGAGATTAATTCTTAAATTTTATTATTAAATTTTGATAACTGTCGATCTGCAAAAGATTTGCGCGGCGCATTCGGTGGACCATTTCACTTAAGGAGCGAAAGTACCACGCCCGTCCGTTCGCGTATCCCGTAAAAAGCAACGACGGGTCACCGCGTGGGCAGAAAACCAGACGGTATGTGGCTTCTCGAGTTCGACGTCGGTGCGCCGTATTTGGCGAATGCGTCGAAATCCGTAGGCGAACCAGTAATCATCGAACGCGTCATCCGTGAACCGTGAGCGTAACGTGAATGGTTCTATAAACATCACTTAAGTCCACCGTACATAAACGTGCATCATTTTCTCGCGTACGCAAGATTAATGTTTCTGTAACTTTTGCCGACCTTAACCGACGCTCGCGCGCAAATTTATTCGCGAATGCAAAATAATTCTTCGTAAATGTAGCATGATATACTTAACTAAGAACGAGCAAAATAACGAAACGATTCGTTGTTTCGCACATGAAATTAAAAATGGGCAAAACATCGGGATGGATCGAGAAACATCGGATGTTTCAAATTCTTTGTCCATTTAACGACGAAGCTTGTGACTTTAAATCGTAGTGTCTCGTCACTCCAGCTTAGAGTCATGAGTTTAAAGCCATTTCTGACTCTATGAATTATTTCTCTCCTTTCCAAAACCGTACGAAGCTTTACGTAATGCGTATGGTTATTCATTCCTCGTAGCATGAAAACACGCATCTATATGTGTTTTTTGCGTCGGGAAGGACACGATCGAATTCCAGATAGCGGCTAGCAACGAGATACCTTAATTAGCAATTCGATTTCGAGAGATATCGGTAAGGTTTGCTGCGCGCTTCGCGTATCGCAACCGCGCGCGCTTTCGCAGAACGGCTCGGATCGCGGCGGATGCGTATGGTTAACGCGGTTAACTTTATGCGAAAAGAGGAAAAAGTCGATCGTTCCCCGTAAATCAGTTTTGCGCGGTCTTTCTCCCGAGGGAGAATTGAAAGCATGCCCAACTCGGGCGAAGAGGCCGCGTCCGTAATGGATAGCACCATAATGAAGTACGGTACGGCGGACTCTCTCATTAATTAACGTTAAAAGGGAAACTTTTGTAATTGCGCTCCTAAGACGAAGTGATGCAGCCTGACCTCCTCGCTGACGCGTCGTTACGTCGACGTCAGAGAGAACCCGGGCGGGTGCATCTTGGAAAGTGACGCTCTTTTAGTGATTAAGAGTACTGCAATTTATTATATTACAGTCCGTAAATCCTTTACAAATACTACAAGCGGTATACTGTTTTAGTAACACTACAATTTCCGATGTTACTCCCATTAACGTAATACTGTGAAACTGTACGATTACGTTGCTGCCTTGTGATTACTAGTGCTCATACTTTATTAAAAATCCCCCCCCCCCCCCCCAGTTTGTTTTAAGCGCCACAAATAAAATACAATTCTGACAGTTTTGAAGTCGGCGGTACTCGTGAACATTTAAACAGCGAATGCGTGTGTCTGACGTCATATAATGCGAGTTACATCGGCGTTATGAAGTCATCGGGCCTAAAGCCATACGTGATTATTCACTCGCATGTTAATCACGTCATACACATTGTTACAATGAATTCACTGTTCCGGTATAACGATTCACTTCGCAGGATCCTTCGTACTGCCGCTCTTTGCGTCGCTGATATAATTCACGATGCGGTTTGACCTTTCTTCCAAGGGTGAACCGCAAACATCAGAATTCTCTTTTATCTGTATATGCTCGCGCTTGTCACCTTCTCTTTCAAGGATCGTGCAACCTTTCAAGGACAATATTTCCGTGCGTCCTGATTGTGTGCACGTACATGCCATAAGCGGGCACACGAAATTCACATCGGGGTCGTCTGGCAAGCAGGGATAAATCGCGAATGTGCATTTGCAGCCTATGATGTCACGGGCCGTTTCGTTCCTCTATCGGGCGCTAAGAGTCTCCGGGGGGAATTCTTAATACAGCGATAAATATCTGCGAATAACTCCAAGTGTGTGCGCAGGATTTCACGTGCACTTGTACAACGAGAGCATGTCTCTTCATGTGTATGACCGTGACACTAAAACGCAGACGTCGGCAGTGGTTCTCGATTTGCTTCTATCATCATATCGAGTTTTTTTCTTTTTGTTTCGATTCAGAGTACTTCTGAAATCTGCACGAAATATTTTGAGGGCGCTGCGCGCGAATTGTCACGCCGCAAAAGATAGAGATTTTTCCATTACTGAAAAAGTATATTTCTGATTTCAAATATATCAAGCGAGTTTACAAAAAAAAGAAAGCGTAGAGTATATACTCCATTTTGATAAGCAAATTTGTCGGTGTAACTGCCTATCTCTCGATTACAAAAGGTGGAAGCAGCCACCTCTCAAACGTGATTAGAATCTTGTTACTAATCCCGACACAAATTGAATCGCAGTCACTAGCTCGCGTCGGTCGCCGTGACAGCCGATACAGAGAAATGCAATTACGGATGGCACGCACGTGTAAGGCGTGACCACGCGACACGGAAAATTGACACGATTATCGATAACCGCGCGCATCTCTCCCGCACACCGCAGGCATGCACCGGGTCGAAACGCTTATGATCCCTTGTGCTTAAACTGTCTTTAGGGACCAGCACGTGGTCGATACGCTTTGTAGTCATGTGCATGCTGCCTGTATAGCGTAGCGGCATCACAATTAATTAATATTTGCGATATCCAATAAAATATTCAATCCACCTCCGAACACAATAGAGTAGCAATTATATATAGGTACATGCCGTGGGAGGATTGTAAATTTAGCCTCTCCATAAAGAATAAAGCCTTTTTTTTATAAAACTCCGCATTTTCATACAGATATCGTCAAATTAGAACAGAAAATTTCAATCTTTTTATAATACGCCTGTCACTTTTCAGCCGTTACATGAAAGCCGATACAAAAAAAATATAACTGATATAAAAGATATAACTGATATAACTATCAGCCTTTTCATAATCATTTGAAAATATTCTATTGAATTGTCGCTCAAAAATTTCACCTTTCAAAACTGATATTGTACACCTTTTAATATATTAAAATAAAAGTTCTATGAAGATTAGTTTTTCTTATATACAAATATTATATAATAAGCTATTTCAGCTTGCAGCATTAACTTAATTAAAACTTTATGAAAAATATAAGTTTCATGGCTTAGTCAGGTAACCAAATGTTTCTTTTTTTTTTTTTAAAACTTCTTTGGCAAAATCTATACCTGTGGAATAATGCAGACGTGTATATTTGGTGTCTGCATGCTTGCAATCTATATATCCTAGATGTGGTTACCATGGACAATATTGATGAAACAATGTAGAGATTTGTCTATTTGTCTATCAATGTTATTTTAATGCACAGTGCAATATATATAATTCATGATTTTTTACAATGAAAGTATCATTCAATACGCAAGAGTTTCGGTGATAAAATCTCAGAAAATAGAGTGATGAATATTCGTGCATCCGTAGGAATGTTAATTAATTGCGCAATCAACATTTCCGTGAAATGTGTGGACTTTTAATCAGGGCTTCTAAAGAATTTTTTAATACATATATATTCAAGTGTAAGTTCTCGTGAGAAAATTTCATTACGTCTAAAGCCCCGGAAAGTAGACAAACATTGATACATCGTTGTTGACCACGTCACGGTATCAATGGCACTGAAAAATGTTTCAGCGTCTGACATCAAAAATTCATTACTAGTTTAACAAATTTATATATGATACAAAAATAACAAAATTAAATAAAAGATTAAAAAATACATAAATAATGTGGGGATATCACACTTACACGTTCTACGCCCACTATATTTTGATATATTCGCTTTCCAAAAACTCAGAACAATAATCACTCGCTTTTCAATCCTCATTCTTGTACACTTTCAACTCTCAATCATGCATACATACATTCTCGTTATTTTATGCAATCCTCAATCATTCTTTTGATACATGCTGCACTCGACAGTCATAAACCGTCATGCATTAAACATTCGTGCATTAAAGGCTTCCGATTCTCTCACTCTTACGCTCATTATCACACTCTCTCATATACACTCGCAATTTTATAGTCATACAATAATATATTTTAAATAATATATAAATTTATTTTTTTCTCTCTAGAATATAAAGTAATGCTTTTCTCTCTAGAATTTTAACTCGTTTCTTGAAACTAAATTGACTCTGTGCTATTGTTAGATAGAAGTAATTAAATTTTAACAATGTAGATAATGATCCTGATTAGAAAAATACCTAGTCACGAATGTTCCAAGAAATTATCAGCAAAAAAATTGAAAACTTATTTCAATCTGCGAGAAGGCATACTCCTATCTTCTATGCAAACCGTTGCACGTGAGAAAGAATCGTTCAACTGGCTTTTCTATTCAGGTTAAAAGAAAAAGGCTTGATCCACCCAGAAATTGAGGTGTAGATGTAGGAACAACGTTCCTGTGCTTGATTCTATTCGCGTGTAACTTGGGGATCCGTGTTTGTCGTCGGAACAAAGGGGAAAATTGCATGGATATAAGATAAGGAATTTCTCCTGAGTTCTTCAGAGCACCTGCTTATTTTCTACACAATACATATTTATGCATGTGCGATATGCAATAAAAAGAATATAAAAAATACGATAAAATTATTTAAAATAATATAAAATGTAAAATAGTGACAAAAAATATATAATTATTTAATTGTTAAGTGATCAAAAAGAATTATATAATGCATGTTTTAAGAATTAATCATCTACTCTAAAGTAAATTTTGTTGCAAGTGCAGTTTTGTTAGTTTTCTTATTATTACTTAAGATAAAGACTTACCTGTGATCGTATTTCTTGATCACTCTACGCTTTACGTATCGATCCCGTGAAAAGACCGAGCAGCGATTCTCGGCTTTTGTTTGAACACGTACAACTTAGCATTCTGCATTAATACACCGTGTTGCAAAATCCGAAAAGTTCCGTGATTAATGCGGAGAAAATGCGGACCGAGGCATGTTCGATCATTGAACGACGCCGCGTCACTGACGACGACGACTAGCACGTCACGGACGCATCGCGACGTCTGACGTTCCCGCGTCTATTGGCGTCGCGACGCCGTGTACGACAAAGCTCGCGTATGCGCCCTCGAAATGTGTTAAAACGCGTGCGCGATTAAAAACTATGTTATATGCACACACACTTGCTTATGCGTTTTTCATTTATAAATCAAAATTTAAAATGCAAATAAGAATAACGAGTGCGATTATGCTGACAACGTTCAATGAATATTGAAATAGAGTAGAAATATAAAGCAGATAGTTTATCACAGACTAATATTTTCATTAATTTTATCTTATCATATATTAACTGTAATTTATTTAAATTCATAACAGGTAGATAATACATTTCAAAAATGCAAATATCTTTTAAAGATATACAACATAATAATTATTTTATTTTTTGTAGTTATTTTATCTCCAAAATACAAAAGGAAAATTTGATTATTGTAAACCATTGCTGCAAACACTCTTATCATCATACTTATGGATTCAAGTTATCAAGTTTTGCAGAAGTTATTTATATAACAATTACAAATAATACAACAATGTATTAAGAGTTTGATAACCAGTAATAAGGAATCCCACAAAGAAAGCGATCACTCTCATAGGTTGCTGTGACAAAACCACATATGAAATTGTATGACTTATTCGAGAAAGTACAAAAGTGCGTATCAAAATTTTAGCCAGCCATGCTGATGGTCCCGTGGTCAACCAGAGATATGTGATTATGAACCATGGTACAATATTCTCCAAATCATTCAAATGTGCTCTTCGTACACGCTCTACGTCTGGATCATTAAATGAGACTTTGGCTTTAGATGCAAACGGAACATCTTCTTCATTGGCGAATGTCTGTAACAATTATCATAAATTAATTTCATTCCATAAAAAATTTTTAACAAGAATATGAGTGGAACAGTATTACGGATTAATAGTATTACATAATGCGGATATGATATGAATGGCATATGATAAATAATCGTATCAATATCAGAGGAAGGTCGTAACTCAAGTAATCATTGATACTGAGCACCACTGGAAGTATTACTGGACTGAGCATGATACAGCTCAGACTACCATAATCATGACTGTGCAATGCTACTTGTCGATCAACTTCAGTGGCGCTCAACACGATCAGTCAAACTCGTATTTGTACCACTTTATGATGTTATTAAATTAATTGCGAAATATACATTACTTGCAGATAAAATGTTACACAACTTTAATATCTCCGCTATATTGTCCAAAGATTGAAAAAATATTACAAAATAAATTATTTCCTGTCTTACATATGGAGCACTTAATAACAGTAGTACAATTTATCTTAAATGTGAATTAAATGATTCACGTTCATTGGACAAGAGTTTAGTTAGTGATGACTATGCGCAGAGAACATTCTGACATATTTTGTTTTACGTACTTTCTTTGCGAACCGCTGTCGTGCAGTTAAAGGTGACATCGCTAGTACTTTTAAAACTAATATGCTGCCCCAAAAACCGAACGCCTGAAGCAGTTCTGGATTTATTTCAGCCATTTTTCTTTGCTTTTGAGTACGTTTTTTAATATCACTTTAAGAATGAAAATGACTCAGCACTACTGATAACCGCACGCAACGAGAGAACTGCCGACACTGGTCAACAAGTGCCATGCTCGGCAGATTATATTCGGAATCTTCTACTATCTACATATGCAGTCTGCTATATGTGTACAGCTTGATAACATATGAGCAATACATATTTATCAAAGATTTTTAAAAATCTTCTAGAAAGGTAATCATGAGTTGGCAAGATTTTAAATTGTCTGGGAAACAGTTTTTTTTATTATGTTTTATTTATCAGTTTTTTTTGCTAATGAACTATTACGCAATTATAAGGTGCACGACGTTTGACCTTAAAGAATTATTTTTCTATAAATACGTAAATTATAATAAGAAGTTTACTGAAATCTATTTTTTATTATTTCTATACATTATTATTATTATAGCATTATAATTTATAATAATATAATAATAACGTGATAATAATAAATCATGATTCTTGAAGTTTTAATTTGTCTGCCAAATTATTTATCTATTTAAATTTTTTTGATATTTTATCAACTTTCAAGGTAATAAAATTTTACAATTTAAAGTATCAGTAGTTAAATGGGTTCGATTCTGTGCTAAATAATGTTCGAATCTCTGCTATTCGGATTCAAATATCCGCTAAGCTGCTTCTCCGCTAAGCGGGTTTGAGTTTCCACTAAGGTTTGAATCTTTGCTAAGTAAATGGGTTTGAGTCTTAGTTAAGGAAATTTTAGACTTGTGTTTCCCAAACGAAAATTCAATGAAACTGTCAAAAATTGCTTGAAAAATATCTTTATCATTCTTTTGAATAATTAATAGTCATGATGCACGAATATCTAGATACGTTGCGCATGATGATAAAATTATGCATTGCCTCTTGCATACAAACGCTACTTGATACTTATTTATTATTTCCAGGAACGCAAAAGGCTGATTGGCCATTGCATCATATAGGTTAATTCTTAGTTTTGTCACATTCTTCGTGCAGCACGTAACTTTATATATTATACATAATTATACATGTTTAGCATTTTTGATATTACAATCAATATAACAACATTAATTTCTCAATTATTTTCTTTCACTTTCTGCTTTGTTTTCATAACTCCACCAATGCATTATATCCATTAAGCTTTTTATTGTGGATGCGGCCGCATGGTGGGGTACGGTGGCAACCAATCAGTTCGCAAAATGCAGCTTCTGCGCAATGCGCGTGGCGCGCTGCGCCGCATGATCTTGCGTATCAGTGTTCGCCAGTGCTATCCAGAAGGCACACAGTGGTTACGCGGTTTATAGCGCAATTGTTGTTGGAGCGAAATTCCGCGAACGGTGGTGCGTCGTCCTGACGGACGACGATCGGAGGGAAAAAAGGGTAAAGTCGCGAGCGGGCAGATTACCGAAGACAGTGGTAGTTGGTGGTCGTGTTGTTGCTTGGTAGCGACAGTAGTGGTGGTGGTTGGTGGTGGTGGTGGTGGTGGTGGTGGTGGTGGTGGTGGTGGTGGTGGGTGCTCCAGGTTCCGCGAGTGTCCGCGAAAAACTAGTGCCGCGAGCCATCATGGCGAACCCACGGAAATTCAGTGAAAAGATCGCGCTGCTGAACCAGAAGGAGGCCCAGGACTCAGCGGCTTTCGAAGCAATCATGAAGGAGGTTTCGGACGTCACGAGCAGAGTAAGGAAATACCAGTAGGTCTTTGGCGTGGGAGAATCGGTGCCGTGTTGTGTGTCGCGCCATGACCCGTCGTGCACCTCCCTCGGTTCAGATGTTAGAACGTAAACAACGAGTGTCCCCCTCGTCCCCGCAGCTCCCTTCCCCCATCGTGTCTCGTTCTCCCTCTAATCCGTATCTCTTTTCTCATTTGCGCTTATACCACACGCTATCGGTATTCTGTGTATATGTACGCGCGTGTGATCCGGGTTGCTTCGCTTAGCGAGCGAGCGAGCGCGCGAGCGCGTGTGTATGTACGATTGCTGGCAAGTGCATCGCGCGCGGCTGTGTCCGCCGCTTGCGGCCGTGTATATCGGCATGCGTGTATCGCGAACGGTGCATATATGCGCTCCAATATATGGCATGATTTTCGTCGCGCGAGCGACGACTCTTTACGGCTAAGTCGCTCTCACGTTTTCAGCGAGAACGCATGTTGATCCGGACGCAACGTGGCCTGCAACTAAATTATGCAATTTGCATCCGCGTCCGCGCGATGACGGCTAGGTCGTCGCCTGCAGGTATTGGAGCGTGATTATGCGACGAATTAACCTTTTACTCCGTATCTCGCGCGCAAATCAATGTGTTACGTGAAATTCATACGTTTCAACATGCGCGAACAATCGACCGTTTAAATTATTATTCAACGAGTTATCCGAGCTTATTTATTTTTATCTTTTACACTTCGGAGAATCGAAGAAGCGCGGAATGTACTTGGAGATTTTTCGAGTTGCATGCGGGAATTTGTTTTCGATGAAAAAAAAAGAAACGGTAAAAGCCAAACGTTTTCCTCGAATAGTTTCGTAGGTGGTAAGAACAAGTTAATGCTCGATTATACAGTGTATTCGATTCATTTCGATGCGCATGTAAACATTCTGTTTTCTCAGTAATGCTGGCGGCTCTCGAGGTATTTTCAAATAGGAACGTCGGCAAGATTCGAGTCGATGTATTTAGCGTCGTAGAGTGCACCGTGCGATTAAAACGGAGCACCGGGAAGCGTTCTCCTATCGCGCCAAAAAGATAAAAACATCGCGCGGGATTATTTGATACGATCTGAGCATTTCGAAGCAAAAACCTATTTGAGCGAAATCAAATTAGATCTCCACACTGCGGACCATTTGCTAGTATTTAAATATACTTGTACAAGTATTTAAATACAATTGTATCGAGAGTAACATAAATTTAACTTTCAAATTTATTTAAGTTTTTAAATCTATTTAAATTTGTTTAAATTTAATTATCTTTTATTATACCCTTAAATGTCCGTTTTAAAAACTATCAACTGTCATGCTTTGTCTATGAAATGTACAATCGAGTTCCGTTAGATTTCACGACGTCTGTATATAGAAGTCTTGTGCACGACCTCCAAATTTGTTCACTCGAAGGCTCGACTACCGTTCGAATCGGCAATTGGAGAATGGAATTCGCTACGGAGATAAGAACCTGTTTATCGGAGTGTGGTCCAGGAAAAGACCGATACTACGCCGCGAAAATGTAGCGTTGCAAGAAATTCTCCAAAACTAAAAGCCGATCTGATGCATCAAGCTGTGATCGTGACATTAATCGTTAGCGATATTTAATGCTAAAATTGGCTATGAATATAAAGTTTTCGCAGAGATTACGGACGTTTTTGTAAATACGCAAAATTAATAAAACATTACACGAGAGAATAGCTTTGAAGAAGCCGATAGAAAGATTTTTAATACTTAATTTTCCGCTTGTTTAACCGCCTGCGCAGAGCCTAATAGAAGAAGGTTTAACAGAGAAAGGTTAATTCAGAGCCTGTCGTCAAAACCACAAATATTTGAGTTTTTGACCGAGACGTGAAATCTGGTAGCTCTAATTAGCGGTTTAAGAGTGCGAAGATCGCTTACGATCACTATGTTTGCGGTGGCCATGGTTGTCAATGACGGACCTGTACAGGTGGCCTCGGCGAGCAGCTCAGTGGGTGCTAGTCCCACGGGATCCGGCGTACCGGAGACCCCGCTGTCCGTCAAGAGTGCCGGCGCCAGTCCACCGCAGTCTAGCGGCAAACACCTGCACATTAACCTGGGGAATCAGTTCAGAGCGGGCGGCTCGTTGCCGAATGTTAACAACAATGTCAATTGCGGCAGCGATACGAAAGAACACTCTTCGCCGCACTCTGGCGCGATCCACTCGATCGACCTTAAGGTCTGTACCGCTCCTCCCGGAACGAAGTTCCCTTTTTCTTGTTGTTGTTATTCGGCTTGTTGTATCCCAAACATTTTGTTGCATCCTCCCGAAACCCGTACCCCATCCTCGTTTCACGGAGAAAAATTCTTCTCAATTGCATTACGCGCGGATTTGCTGCAAACACGCCGTGTGTGTGTTTTTATTTATTCAAAAAAGAAAATAAATAAAAATAATCTCAATGATTGAAAAAATGCCAATTTCCTGTTAAAAGTTTTATGATGTTTGAAGTGACATATATATGAAATTGAAATATCAAAATTTACATTGGTATGTTCAACAAAAATCTATATAGAATTCAGTCTCAATCGTTTTGATTTATTTCAGTCAAATGCAATGTTCTTAATCAATCCGCGAAAAGACTTTCTTTCAAATGAAATTAATTCAAGTTACTGAGATGCAGAAATTAATTTCTGTTACTGAAACTGAAGCTGCCGGCAGTATATATTATTTTAAAGCGACTTTATGTGTTATACATTTTGCGGTGAAATAGTTTCCTATCATCATCTTGAAGTTTTTCAAGCAAAACTTTCTTTCATAATGGTGCAAGATTGAAGACTTTTCTCCGTGTTTTCAAGGGTCGTTCCGCATCGCAGGCATTTTGTGATCGCTTTGTTTCGCACCACGTTCCAGTGTCATTCTTCTTCGAGATTATCGTACGGAGTCTATTTCGGATAATATGCAGTATAACGTGTGCTGTTAATCTCATTAAATATAAAAGCGGAAGTGTCAACAAAGTGTTGCAAATTACTGAAAGTTACACGGCGGTCGTAGAAATTGGATCGATTGGTGCTGGTTGTAGCAATTTTCTTTTTGTAGTGATTATTTTCTTTTGCAATGTCTGTGCATACACAATAATACAATTGCATGGCACGTACACAATCGCACGAATCAAAGATATTTCCAATTGCACTAGATATTATACAATTGTGTAGACGATTATTTTCAAACTAGTAATTAAATTAATTTTTACGCCAGTAAGGGAAGTAGTTAGTGCCGCAAAAAAATAATTAAAATATGGATTATGATTAGTAGTTTCATGTGATTAAAGTAGATATTATATCAGTGGAGTGAGATAAGGAGTACATCAAGTATTATTTTTAAGCCTCATGTCGTGTTAAAAAAAATAAAGATTGTATCGTGCGTCGAACTCTGTGATCTTTATGTCACGCTTGAAGTCGGTATTTGTTCATTTAATTAAGTCGCGTATTTAATTAACAATGAAAAGCTGCTTTATCAAGTTGACAAAGAAAATCCCAGGTAAAAGATACTTTTATGGAAATATAACCAAGCTCAGTCACACATTAGCTATGTATATGTTACATAATCCAATTATATTATATGACATTCTATTCATGCATAATTCCAAGTATCTGGCTCCTAAAAAATTTACCGAATTACGTGAAAAAAAAATTACGCGTGCCTTTATAGCGGAAAATTAAAAAAAAATGTTAATGAATGTAAATTAATCGTCGCGAATGTTTAACAATCCGGTAACTTAATAGATTTATCGGCAAACTAATTTAGAATTTTTATATAGCATTTTGTGTTTTGTAAAAAAATATCGTGTGAAAAACGTTGCAAAATGATTCTACTTGGTTCTGATGTTATTTCCAAGTCAAGAGATATACTTTATGTATCACCCGAAGCAATAATTAAATTTTCCGGATGAAGTTTTCTTGTTTCCACGGTAGACGGAGAAAATTATGCGATGTCATTTCAAACTAAGATCCAATGAAGATATTACGCAATATTTTTTCCGCATACGTGCTGCGCTGACTGTCGTATCACGAAATGACAAAGTATAGAAAAGCACTTGTGATTTAGTGATTAAGAACCGTAATTATGTATGCTGCTATGCAAGTTAAGTAATTTGTGCATATCGCTAAACAAGTAATTATTTTACATCCGCGGAAACAAATTGCATAAATATATAAAGTGATTGCCAAAATTATGGCGTTGTGAGTGAACTAAGGAATTATCATATTACATGTAATTTACGAATTGAATGCGAGATTAAGCTTGTAACTTATAAAATCAATTTGCAGTATGTTATATATGTACAATATATATATATACGAAAGTGGACTTACAAATTATGGATTTATTTTATTCTTACCGAATTCATCAATTTTGACCGAGATTTCACAGTGAAACTGTGACGTTTAAATTCTAGATTTTACTCAGTGTTTTACTTCACGATTTTTTAAATAAATTTTCTCTTGCAGGCATATCGTATTTAATTAACTTTTATTCCGTAACTTAGTTTTCAAAATTTTACTTATTTAATGTACATAAATCACTCTATACACGATAGTTTTGCAAACATAACATTTTGCGAGAAACATACGTTTTTTTTTTTGGTACTGGAATCAAAAGCGAATAAAATCATAAAAAATTGTTTAATTGAACATGGATTCATAAATATTTCGTTTTTACGCATCGATCTGCTTCAGTTTCAATGCATATTTATAGTTTATCTAATTCACAACATTACCTACAAATTTTATTCATGTTAAGCCACATAGCGTATTCATTATTACGTGCTATTATACACAAAGGATATTTTTTTAGTTTACGTAATTTAGATCCCTGTACTACCTCTTTGTTTCTCGTTTGTTTCGGGATCTGTTGGAGGATGTCGTCATGTTTATAGATTTTTCCATGGGAATTAAACCATGAACCATAGCTATAACGATACATTTAGGCGTGTTATCAATAAGAAAAATATAGGAGAAATAGTAATTCTAATATTGACTTTACCGCATAATAATCTTTTACGATAATATCTTTATGATAATAAATTCATAATATTCTTATTATAAAGTTAAAACTCTCAATGACAATTTTGTTAAATTATACGATTTAAAATAATAGTTACTACTTACTTCTGGTACTGTACCTTGGACACATTTCGCCACATTGTATATTTTTTCGCATGCATCCGCACCGTCTAGAAATTTATTCATGAAATACAAACCAACAATAGAACAAATTTGTGCAAAAAAATGTTACGCGTAACTTACCTTGCACAGCGCATTTGTTTAAAATCTTATTGCCAATTTCTTGAAACTCCTCTGGTATAACACTTATCAGCATTTCAGCTTCCAAATTGCCCTCTTCATCGACCTATGCCGAAATATTATTTCGATGAGTTTTGCATTCGCGTATAAATTAAATAATGTTTAATTTATTAAATAATGATTTACCAAACTGAACGCATCGAGGAGGCAATTCATGTAGCATGTTATACTACGGTCATTCGTGAGTTTCCCATCGTTAACTTCATCGATAAGGGCTGCATCGCGAAATTGAAATATCCATCATGAACATGGTATAATTAAATAATTTTGATATTGAAAATTTTTAAGTATCTTACAAGATATACGAGATCTCTCAGATTCCACTTAAAAGAGTTTTAACTTTTGTACAAAAAATAAACAATTAATTAATATATTAATATTTTTTTTATTATTCATGTTTCTAAATATCTGAAATAATCAATAAAAGTATTTATTCAATATGTGCAAAAATACTACATATTTGAAAGAAATCTGAAAAAAGATAAAATGTCTCAGAGATCCTTCGTCGTTCATCGATTTCTTTCGCAACATTAATTGAAAATTAATAACTAGTTTTAGCTTAACAAAAAACAACAACGTAGCGTGGGATTATCATCCGAATAATGATTAAACATTACTAATCGCGAGACTCACCTTGGGACGTTCCGTGCTCGGCCATGCACCGTTGCTTGTCACCTTGAACCATCTCCAACATTTCCGGGGGCACCCAGTCAGGTGGCTAGGCAAAATCAGAATTTATTACGAGCGCGTCGCAGTAGGTATCCTCGCGTGTCGGACTTTAGCACCATTTGATAAGTCGCGTTCACGCGCGCTCGCGCGAATCGCACATCACTAGGCGTATACAGTAGGCCACTGTCGATTATCATCGCGTTCTTCCTTATTATACGAAATCTATTCCGCGTTTATCGAAAGTAAGCTAAAAGGCTTACCCCGGCGGACACGTAAATCGCCTGTAGCAATACTGCGCCGAGTATCACCGACACGTGCATCGTTGTACGTTTGCTTACACCTTGGTCCGTCACTATTCTGCGTCAAAATGTACCATCTACGTCGGTTACGCGCGGTTTTTATAATGTCACAACAACGGGATGTAGGCGTGCTCGGCAGAGGGTTAATGTCACATCCTTCACTTACTGATTGAGGCTCTCTGCCGTTAAGTCGCCAGCTAATCCCCCTCTAATTTTCGACTCTTAACGGAAGCGTATATACGGAATTACGTATATCCAAGGCCTTGAATACATCCTGTATATGCGTTTGTATACACAATGTATGCGCGATTCAATGCTTAGAACTTTCGATTGTCATTTAATAATTTTTAAACTGAACTCGCAAACAAATTAGGAAAGAAATTTTTTGTATACGATCGAATATAACAAGCAGCAACAATTTTAATATACAAATAATTCGTTATTTGTGTAAAAACTAACGTTTCAATTAATATTTACATAATATACTTGAGAATTTTTTAACAATTACAAGTAAAATCAAAAAACGATTTTTATTTCCAATTTTTTTACAGAAATAGCTAAATTATTTGAACCTCTTATAAGCTGGCAGGACCAAATCAGCAGAATCGAATGCGACTTATCGGAAAATTTAGTACTCATTTTGTACTATTTTGTACCACAAAAAATAATTTTGTACCCCGTGCCATTTAAGAAAAAATCGTGGCGCTGCCAACTTCATATTAAGCTAGCAAAACCAAAAAAAAATATATATATATAAATAAAAAATACAATATATACAGTTAGCGCTGAATTTGTACTAATTTGTACCACCCAAAAAAAGTTAAAATATTTCCATTAACCCCTTAAAACAACCCTTATTTCGTCTATCCTAGAAAATAGGACATTTCTTTTCCGATCTTTTAAGAATTTAACCAGCACAATTGAACTAAATTTATCTTATTACTTACCACTTGTCATGTACTATTTTGTACCACCAGAAAGAATTTTGTACCCCGTGTTATTTGAAAAAAATCGTGGTCCTGCCAACATGATGTGGAACTATCCGAATAAAAATTATTAAAAAATAACAAATAACGATAGATTCTATTAGTACTGAATTTGTACTAATTTGTACCACCCAAAAAAAGTCAAAATATTTCCATTAACCCCTTAAAACAACCCTTATTTCGTCTATTCTAGAAAATAGGACATTTCTTTTCTGATCTTTTAAGAATTTAACCAGCGCAATTGAACTAAATTTATCTTATTACTTACCACTTGTCATGTACTATT